TTAGTTGTACAGAAAAATCTAGAGATTGGTGAAGTTCTAGCTGTTGATGTTTCTTCCATTGTTGCTGTGACAAGTACAGTCAATATCCAAATTAAATATAATGGTCCTGCAAGAAGGACAATGTTTGGGGTAAGTAACTTCCATATCTCGAGCCTTTTTATGTATCCAATCAATACTGTTTTCACAAAAAAAAATCCTTAAATTTTTGTGAGGGCTCATGAACTATGCATGTTTGGTATCTCCCATCCTCTCTGAAATTTTTGTGAGGGTTCATGAACTATGCATTTTTGGTATCTCCCATCCTCTCTGATAATGGTAAGACTTCCAATTTCCGAGTCTTTATGCGCATTGAAAAAGACTTTACCGGCTGACAACTTCAGTAGTAAACTTTGTAATTTGTGACCATATGATGGCAAAAATTGAGATTTTGCATTCCTAAACTAACTTGGAATTAAGTCTTCTAAAGTGGGGTGTAGTTTTTTTGTTTTTTTGGGTTTGCACCAAAGATATCTTCTAACAGTTAGTCAGAAACCAATTCTTTTCAAAGTGGAAAGATCACTAAAGTGGGTTTTGTCTATCTAAACAAAGTCTTATCGCCTTATACCCCTCACTTAAGAGAAAATTAAGGGAGTAAATTTTGCATAACCATATAGGAAACACAATGGGTCCAACCCTTCCTTGGACCCTGAGTCCCCGAGCATACTATGATCTTTGTAGCACTATGCTTCTCTTTTTTATGCCTTTTGCCACGCAATGATCAACATGCCCATAAAATTCTCGTCCACATGGATCAACAAGATCCTCGGTAGTTGGCATTCGGCAATTATGCATGATATAATGAAAATGTTAATACAGACTACACCCACCTTTTTACACCGTATTAACATTTTCTGTATGGTGACCACAATGTCACTCTTGATCTTCATGCCATATAGCTTTCTTTTGACATGCATCTTCTAACACCCATAATTTTCTCAAGAATATGTTGTATATGATTGTGATCTCGAAATTGCAGGGTGACAATGCGGTCACAGCTCTTCTAATAGGACCAGGCATTGTGTTCATACAAAGTTTACCTTTTCATAGATTCTCTCAACGAATTGCTAGGTAATGTTGTGTTTGAGTAAGAAAGCGAAGTCAAAATATCAGTTGAATAACTGCCATGGACTTTCTCTTCCTTCTACTTCTGCTAGCACGCCTTCGTTTTTTCCCCTTGTGAATTTTTAAGCGATTTAGTAATGTAAATTCATTTTCTGCTTTCCAGGGCGGTGACATCACCAAACATGAGGGAAAATCCGAAGTTTTTCATACAGATCGCAGTTTTCTTTTTTCTGGCGTATGTTGTCATTGT